TTGAAAAAAGATTGTAACAAATAATAGTTGGTAATAGCTTTAAATTATAATAAAATTATTTTTTTGGTATAACCAATTATTAATCAACTATTTCGGATTAGATACTTCAAAGACAATGACGACTGTCCAAATTCAGTTTGTTCAATTCACAGTTAATAGGATTCTAACCTCTAATCTTGCTTAAGAGACCTAGTGCCTCATCCACTAGACCAACCGGTTATTGGTATTATAATAAAATTAATAATTAAACTAAAAATATATATAGTTAAAAATTAAAATAAAATCAATCTTATAATTTAATAAATCCATTACAATAGCGGGCTTCATAAATTCAAAACAAAGCTGCATAACGGGCTTGGAAATTACGCTTTGGGTTTTGGTGTCAGGGCCAGCCCATTTGATGGTGAATCAATTTCAAAAAACCAAAACTATTCAAATATTCGATGATTAATATCCACGTTTATTCTGAATTTGTACATATATTAATTAAAAATATAAAAATTTGTGATTCATTAGTTAGTCGAGTAATCAAGAATACTCATATCATTTTATTTTATGTGAATTTAAATTTTAATATTTATCTTAAAAATATAATATTTCTCTACTTAATAAAAATATATGTGAAATTTCAAATATCATTTAAATCCAAGAACCCAAAATTGAATATTTATCATTATCTGAACTTAAAAGATAATTCACTAATTGTTAAAAATTTGAATTATTCGAGTATTATTAACTCGAATTTTATTTAAAATTTTTCGGATTAAATTCATAAAATTATAAATTAATTTGAGTCTTTTAACTTTAAAATAAGTACAAAACTTTATTTCTATAATCGAATCAAATTTTGTTCGCTCTTAACTACAATAATACTTTTGAGTGCTAGAATTTGTGAAATATTTTAAATTTCAACAAATGATTTTTAAAATATTGAAAATTTTAACTCAATCAGTTGAGCAATTGGGGTAGGGTTCACTCATCGCACGTATTGTTTGATTCTCAGTTTTTATATACTAATTTTGGTTTTAATTTTTTTTAATTTTATTTTGAATAAATAATTTTATTTAAAGTTTTCATTACTTTTTAATAAATTTCTAATGCCTCTTAAGACATTATCATAGTCATAGATACCGATGTTTTAGACTCTTGATGTCTGACTTCTTCATTTGTTTGTACATGACATTCCGTTAGTTTTCAGATATTTATGTCGGATGAAACTGTGGTTAAGGAGAGATTTATTTTTTAGTTGCTCGCTTTGGATACACTTGAGGTATGCCTCCTCTATGCCCGGTGTTCGGGGATATCAGAGTGATCCATCCATGTATGTTGTGGCCTCAACTATTTACACTCTTGCCATTAGACTATCATCAATCACTCACCATTATATTTTGTTTATGGTAATCAACAATGTATATATGATAACACGTTGTTGATGATGCTTTATTTGATTGATAGTTATATAAATATTACACTTTTCTTCTATTAAGTGATTTTAGGTGTTTAATTAATTAATTAATTTAAATCAATTTAACACATCCAAATTATAAATTTATTACTAGATTTTTGGTTTCTCCATCGCATCACATCATCCAATTTCTAAAGATGTTATTGGAGTGTGGAGCAGCGGCTTGGGCGGGTGTTTTACATTATATGATTCACTCGCATCAAAATACTGATAGATAAAATTTTGATTCAATTATAAATAATTATATCCCCAAAATTAAATCATTTAACTCACAATATCTTTGTATTGCCCTTTACGTTGTGTGTCTATATTTAGCATGATAGATTCCAGCAAAAGCATGCATTGTTTGTTCACAATTCCAATATTTACAGTGATGGACGCCTTTTCTTCTTCCTTTCTCTCCGCATTACCACCTTCAACAAACTCCGGTCTCCGGCCACGGTCACCAGATCTACTTCCCCACACTCTTATGTTCCTCGCCGTCACATTTCCTCCGTCACCAGATCTAAAAAAGCTGTAGAACACAGAACAAATTTATTCTTTCCTCTCAGGCTCAGTTGGATCATTCAATAAATTAGAAGATATATATGTACATGTGTGGTCATTGTTATAGTGTATACTGCAAACACCATAGCAGATGAAGTTACAAGGTTTTTAAAACATTGGATAAAGATACCTAGCTGCATTTGTTACAGATAAATTGAACCTTTAAACAGTTTATTTTTGGGTTTAATTGCATCCTAAGAAGAAGAAGAAGAAGAAATTCATGTTTATCCCTTGTAATCTTAGAACAGCAGAAAAGTCAAGTTAATCAGGGACTGCCATAGAAGAGTAAAGAGCTGCTCAAGTTTCTGTGTACAGCTTTGATTGCCGCGTCCCAATCAATCAGTTTACCCCTAGCTAAGGCTAACAAAAGAATAAGATAGAGAAATGTAACTTTTGGCTACCTAATCTAGTTTGGCTGGCACAATATTAATACTCGATTATCATGATTAATTAAACAAGCAGGTCAAATCTCTCCATTTTTACCCATGTTAAAATGCACAAGTACCGTACCTTAAGCCAGAATAGGTTCTGTAGGCAAAAGGAAAAGCTCAGTCTTGGAGGAGATAACTGGAGATTGAACACCATCAACTAACCAACTTGATGAATAAATGTTGCTTGATCATCCATCCATTCTAATTGATATAATATTATTGATTCGGGTACAAACAGATAACTTTTTGCCCTTAAAATTACAATTTAATCACTCAATTAAAAAAATTGTTACAAACAAATCATTTCTTCAATAAAAAAACGAAACAAACTAATTGATATAATATTAATTTTAGTCCCTAAAACTTATACATTCTATTAAATTAGTCTTAAATTAAAATAATCCAATAAGTTTAATTCTTCATATTTAAAAATTCATCAATCTGGTATTAAAATTTATCAATTTAGTAAAGAATGCTACTATACAGAACGATACAATCGGATTAAAGAACCAGTTAGATAATTACTTTCTATTTGTTAAAATGGTATTGTCGTAACCGGTTTTCGCCCGGGTATGAATTTTTTACTTGGCAGAAAAATAAAATGAATAAGTAAATGATTTTGATTTAAAAAAAATGTTATAGGAGTCGTCATTGACCTTTTTGGGTTAGATAGGTCAAATACCTAAAAACAATCTCTTAAAATAGTTTTGAATAAAACATAATTTAAAAGATAAAACTAATATGCGTATAACAAAAAATTTTAGTAAAAAAAGATTCGTGGTCGATTACGTTTAGGGAAGGATTAGCACTCCTATAACGCCCAAAATTAATACTCATTAATTATAAGTTGCCTCTATTATTGGAAATTCAACAATATATTTAATTTAATTTATAACCCTGTTATTTCAAATTTATTAATATAATTTTAAGAAAATATATTAATATATATATTTTTTATTTTTATAAATAAGATATTTATTTACTTAGAAATATCAGAAAAGGGCTTCTAGGTGTTTTAAGACAGCTCCTTTCTTAATATTAAAAAATAAATAAATATTAATAAACATTTCTATAAAAATAATTAAAATAAATTAGTATATATAATTTATAAAAATAGGATATTTATTTATTTAAGAATATCAAAAAATGACTTCTAGGTGCTTTAAGACAGCCCATTTCTTAATATTAAAAAAATATAAATATTAAAATAATTAAAATAAAACAATATGTATTTTCTGGTTTTTATAAGTAAGATATTTATTTAAAATACTAGAATAGGACATCTAGTTGCTTTAAGACTGCACTTTTCTTTGATATTAAATAAATTTTATTATTTAAATAAATATAAATATATATAGATATTTATATGATTAAGATAAAAATAATAATAAAATAATAATTAAAGCTATAATTAAAATATAAAAGTAATAATAAAATAATATTGCAAATAAATAATGATTTAAAATAAAAGAAATTAAACTTATAAAATTAAATTGCAAAATATATAAAACTTATGGTCAAAATTATAAAATATAAACAATTAATTGACATAGTTATAAATATTATGTAATATAACCATTAAGAGTGTGAATTAGCCATAATAAAATATTCAGGACTAAAATAATAATAGTTAAAATTATAAGGGACTTAAATGGATGTTTACCTTAAACATATAAGCATATATATATTAAGGACTAAAATATAATAAAATAAAATACAAGAACAAAATTAAAATTAAAATAATTAAAAGTATGATACGAGTGACTAAAATAAATAAAATTAAAACTATAGCATCATATTCATAAATAAAATAACAACAAAATTAATTAATGACTAAAATAAAATAAAATAAAAGAGAAATTAACATACAAATATCGAAATAAAATAAAGAAAGAATATCGATGACCAAAATAAAAAACGTCTAAACTAGAATGGCTTATGAATGATTAACCCACTTAAAAGTGATTTAAATATAAAACACGCTAAGAGTCCAGAGACTTTAGCATGATTTACCCCAAAAATAAATTAAATCCCCTATTTATTAAAACGCAAAACTCACCAGGGACTTAAATTTGATTTAACCCTAAAACTAATGGCTAAAATATAAAATATGGTTAAGCTAAGAGGACCTAAAGATATTTTACCCAAAACCTAAGATATATATATGTATTATTTCTCTCTTTTTGGGTAACCTAGCCACTTTTATTTTCTTCTTCTTTTCTCTCAACCGAGAGAAGCCAAAGCTTCTCCTTTCTTCCTCTTTCACAACCGGCCGAGCAACCCAAGTAACATCTCGCCGCCGGCCACCGTAAATCGGTGGTCGAATACTCCTCCAATCATCCCCACACAAAACCCAAACCTAAAATTTATCCTAAAAAAATTTTTAAATCTCGATTTGGGATTAAACTACCAAAAACGAGATTGAAAATCTCAAGCCTTTCTCTGATTCTTCAACCGATGTTTCTTCGGCGACCTAGACTCCGACGAAGAACTATGAACGACGTAAAATCGTTCTTTTATATTTCTGTTTTTTTTCTTACTGATTTTTTTTATTTTGAAAAAAATAAAATATGAAATACCAAACTGAAAAATAAAGACCAAATGTAAAAATAATCTTTGTTGTATTTTTGTTTCTGATTTTCTTTGTATTATTCTTGATTCCTCCCTCAATTTTACATACTGTTCTAGGGGGTTTTATAGCCCCAGTTTACATGTAAATATATATATATATAATATTTGTTGTTGTTTTCTGATTTGCTGATAAGGATGTTGGGACGTGGATGGTGCTTAGGAGGCCACGGGTGGAGTTGTCGGAAGCTACTGGAGTGTAGAGGGACAGCTGGGTTGCTTGCTGTAAGTTATTGGATGGAGGGGGAACATCTGTTGTTGCTGGAAGCTGCTGGAATACTGATGTGGTGGAGTTGCTGTCAAGATAAAAATGGTGATTACAGGTATTATACCAGAAAAGTAATTAAATATTTATGAAAGAAGTAATTTAAGAAAGAAAATCAGTGTGATAAAAAAATGAATAAGAAAAATTAAATTGTTTTAAATTAGATGTATAAATTTTAGGGGCTAAAATTGTTATTATATCAACCATGACTAATATATGACTAGTAGTGAGATCTCTGTGATAATATTTTAATTAAGTGATTAAATTATAACTTAGAAAAATAGGAACTGATAATTGATGGACTTAGATGTACTTTATCCCTGTTTTTATTAGTTTGCATAAGCTTCCCGTTCAAAGAACAATAGTGGAATTATAATATAGGAGCACCATAAAATGTGGCCATTTCGACTAATAATTTGTTATGAGGAACAGGAAAATGAAGGGGAGACGTACAGTTTCCCTTGTTTGGAGTGTGTTCAAGACAAACTCAACTTGGGATTTGCCTACATCTCCTATCCATAATTCTATATTTCGGAGTTCATCCACTAAACTACATAGAGGAGAGAAGGTCGGTTATGTACAACACTCAAGGAGCTGTCAGTCGACCTGCATGTCCCAATGACATCCATGACGGTTCAGCCGGATTAAATGCAACTTCTCGACAAATGGTTCGAGAATCTCAGCCTCTTCTTCCGGAGCAAAGGCCATGCAAATGCTAAGCTCTTGCATTGCCTTGCCATATTCCCGACATTATTTTAGTTATCAAATTTAGTTCCATCCATCATTACCCAAACCCTCTTTAAAAAAAAAAACCAAAGAATTTTCGGAATTCATACCTGTTATAATACAGCATCATGCCATGATCTCTCGTCAGCGCCCAATTATGTGGCTGCAGACTCAACAATCTTTCCGAAGCCATGATAGCCGTTAGATATATGAACTGCAAAACTACACCGTTAGCATTGACTGAAATATAAACAGTAATTAAAAGGAACAAATTCGTAAACCGTTTCGTGGTAAAAACTACTGTCTTAGAAACGAATTCGCCCCGATGTGTGTAATCGCTGCAGTAGGCGGACCGTCCCCCGAGGTTAACACGGTCGCTCCGAATTCCGTACACCCGAAACCGGATTGGACTGCTGGTGGTATTGTTCTTTGATCGGAAAGCACTTAGAGAGAACTCACAGAGAGAATTGTAGAAAACACTTTTGTAAGTTAATTGTGAATATTTGAGAGTAAATTGAGAAGCTGAATATAACCATCTATTTATAGGTTAGAAATAGAGTTAAAATCGTCCATAAAATTTCAGGATTAAATCTCTTCTTTTGTAACAGTTGAATCGTCTAGATGAACCTGACTCAAAAATAGTCCAGGTTCATTGCATCATTGTTTAGTTGTTATAACTCCCGAAATTATATCATGTAACCCATGGAATTAAATCAAATAACTCTTGTAACTCCTGATATTAACAGCTTGTCTCCTCTGTACAAACATCTTAACGTTTTGATTTAATTTAGGAAAAACTGTTTAATTTCTCATAAACCAGCTGTTATCATTTGAAATTAAACAGTCATCAGCAGCCTATAAATATTAGTTGAAATCTTTCACATTTTTCCATGTGTTTCTTTCAAAGAGAAATTTTTCTAAAAATATAGTATCCGCGCGGACGTGTCGAAGACACGTATTATCACGACCACGGCCACGACCACGACCCGAGCCGAGACGGACGGCGCGCGAGAGTCCCCCTTGTTCTCTATCACTCAACAAGGAAGTGGGAAAACCAAGCCTTAAATATTATTCCCAATAGTGTTTTTAATACTATGTGGGATTGAACATTACCAACAATAGCCAGCCTGCGAAAAAATTCGTCTCATTTAGGATACCATTTATGAAGATGCTTGCATAGTATAAACTGACCTTAGGCCAATACAACAGGAAGTACTGAGAATAAACTCGAAAAAAAGACCAATCTCATCCGCATGAAGCAAACATGTTATGTAGTTTAAATGGTATCACTGGAAACCAATTTTAAGAGCAACTCTTAGAAGTGCTTAGCACCACAAATCAAATCCCTACCAAATTAATAAGGCATTAACATTGTCAGTGTGAAAATGTATATAAAGGGAAATATGTTTAAAATACAATTAGATTCTGATTTCGCATAATCAATTCAGATCAGCCTATCATAAAGAACTGTATTCTCTACAAAACGCACAAGGATTAATAGTTCTCGACAGTAAAAAGTTTGCCAATGATCGATCTCCAATACTGCAGCTCCTTACCAGTCGAACATTAAGTGGAAAAAAGGCCTTATCCCACTACCAAGCAACAACGCAAAAGAGAAACAGAGTTTACAGTTATAATGAGAAGAATGTGAGAAAAATACAAAAAGTAAACCAAAGTTGCAGAGCATGGCCTTTACTATATTAGACATTCATTCAGCTTCAAATGCATAATGAAATTGTTGAGTGGCAGCTAAAGAAAACAAATGCTGTAGAAAGGCAAACTTTGGGAAGAAAGTTATGCTACTAATCATAAAAATAATCATAATTTACCTAAGATCTTGCGGGCGCAACAAAGGGACATTGGATTTATCGATCATGTTAGTTTTCTCTCTGGCATTATGAACATGCCTAAGAGGAGAGGTCAGCATCATTCCTTGATTTGATCTTGAAGCACGTTTCCAGTGGAGCCTCTGCAAATGGTTTTTAATTAGTTTATTTCATATGTAGGAAAGAAATCTTTATACAACTTGATGATAAGGATTAGGACTTACAATCAAATTGGCTAATGCAATCCCAATAATATCACAGTTGGTAGCTATCTCAAGCCCTAAAAGTGAATTACCAGTTAAATCTGATGCCATTGATCTAGGGTCCTCCACACGCCTTCCATTGACAATAGCAAACAAGCTGTGTCCTAAAGTCACTTTGAAGAGTTCCTACAAAGAGAAAAGTAGAAGTTAAGTGCATTTAAAGTCACCTTAGGCAAGCGAGAGGATGAAAGAGAAAAGACTCACTTGCAATGTTTCTAAGAGATATGTGAGTTTTTACTGTTGTAAATATTAGAGTTTATTTAAAATTAGTGATAGAGATAAAATCTTATCTCTTGATAATAGAAGATAAGGTTTGTCTATTTAAATAACTCCTAGTAGTAGTTAAACACTTGTACTCTAAGTCTTTAAATAGACTTTGTAGTTTATCTACAAGATATAGAAGGACACACTATTCTCATGAGTTTCCACATGGTATCAGTCTAGGGATCAATCTCTCCATCAGGATCGATGGTTTTCCCTTCTGAATCTTCTGGCGCTAACTCATCGGCAGATTCCTTTCAAACTGTCGGTGATTTCCCAGAGCTCTCTAGCATAGCAGTCATCTGCCAACATTTTGTACACCATAACTACCTTTCGTAGTCTCAATCAGTCAAGATTTTCCTTATTGGACGGGGGAAACTTGGCTATATCTCCGGGGAGATTACGAAGCCTTATTCAACAAACCCATTTTTTGAGAAGTGGGTACGTGAGAATGGCGAGGTGTCTTGGTTGGTTAACACCATGTCTCATGACATTGGTACCAATTATCTTCTCTACGAAACCGCTGCAAATATATGAAAAGTTGTTCGGAAGACGTATTCTAGTACAGACAACACCTTTGAGTTGTTCGATATTGAGAGTAAGGCATCAAATTTAAAGTAGGATGGCTTGCGTGTTATTGAATTTTTTCGTTCTTGGTTTGTTCTATTGTAGCAGCTTGATCTGTATGCGGTTCCTAATTGGGAAACTCCCAAGGATGCAACCATGTATAAACAGATACAAGCACATAGAAGCGTTTTTCAATTTCTTAACGGCCTGATCGTTGTCTGGGATACCGTGAAACAACAAATCCTTGGAACTAAACATGCTCTTTCCATTTGGGAAGTCTTTGTAGAAGTCAGGAGAGAAGAGAGTAGGAGATCCTTCATGCTGCCTTCGGTTCCTATCGCTGAGAATTTGCCTTGGTTACTCAGCCTTCTTCTTCATCTCGGACTAAAAAAGGCCGACTTGTTTGTGATTTTTGCAAGAAAGTTGGACATTAGAAGTAGCAGTGCTGGAAACTTCATGGTAAACAATAGAAGCCTTCTTCCCTGCGGACACCTCGCGAATCCCACTCCAAGATCGTCAACCCTGTGAGCAATGGTGTTTTCTCACAGGAACATATTGTTGTCCTCCAAAAGATGTTTTGTAGCATGGGAGACTCTCGTAAGGCCAATGTGGTTCCGACAGAAGCAGAAGGTACACAACAAGGTTTCTTTCCTACTGCCTTTTTAGCAAATCAAGATGATCCAGCATGTATTATTGACTCAGGGGCCTCTGACCATATGACTGATAACAAAACATTAATGTCTACGTTTGCACCATCTTGCTCTAAGCAGTCTATTAAAACTGTCGACGGGTCGTTATCTCCTTTTAAAGGTTCTGGTTCTGTTATTCTTAGTAAGGATATTATGCTTAGGGATGTCCTTTTCGTACCCAATCTTGCTGATAATTTGTTGTCTATGATTAAACTCTCTAAGGATTTGTACTGTTGCTCACGGTTTACCGATAGTGGTTGTATTTTGCAGGCACTGGATTCGAGGAAGACGATTTGTGATGCTAGATTGTACAATGGGCTCTATCTTCTTTATGGCACTCATTTCTCATTTGTTTATTTATAAAAAATCGCAGTTATTTAAATGTCATGTTTATCCACTTGCTAAGCAAACAAAATCCTCTTATCTCCCATCTCCTTATAAAACATCACACCCGTTTGCTTAAGTCTACAATGACATTTGAGGGCCCTCTGGAGTGAAGAATATTAATGGGTGTAGATGGTTTGTTTCCTTTATTAATGATCATAGCAGAACAATATGGACTTACCTAATAAAGGATAAATCTGAAACTATGTCTATTTTTGAACGGTTTTATACTATGGTTGAAACTCAATTTCAGAATCACATTAAAATATTTCAGTCTGATAATGGGGGAGAATTTTTTGCTAGTGCTTTGGGTGATATTTAAAAAAAAAAGGTATTGTTCAAATTAGCACCTGTGTGGATACACCACAATAGAACAAAATTACAGAGTGGAAAAATTGACATTTATTGGAGGTAACTCGATCCTTGTTATTTTATGGGAATATGCCAAAATATTTCTGGGGAGAGGCCATATTAACTGCCATTTATCTGATCAATCGTATGCCTAGTAAGATTCTTAAGTTTCGAACACCTAGAGATGTTTTCTTGGAGAGTTTTCCTTCTTTCAAACTGCTTTCTTCTATTTTACCTCTTCGGATCTTTAGTTGTATTGTTTTTGTTAAAAGTTTGGATCCTTTTAAGTCTAAATTGGATCCTAGAGCTCTAAAGTGTGTTTTTGTGGGTTATTCTTCACTTCGAAAGGGCTACAAGTGTTACTACCCTCCTACTAAGAAACTTTTTATTTCCATGGATGTCACGTTTTTTGAACAGGATCCTTATTTTTTTCGAGGCTCCAATTCAGGGGAGACTTGGATAGAATTTGGACCTCAGCAAGTGCATCCATTCTTTTTTTCTTCTATACTTCAGATGATTTGCCCACTGCATCTTCTAAACATACTCCTGTTCACTCTCTTACTCTTGTTGCTGCCCCTTTACTAACACCGTCAGTTTTTTCACCTCCTAAAATTGTTCCTCAGAATGTACAAACACATATAAAACTGTTCCTCAGAATGTACAATTTCCTAATCAACTTAGAGTTTATACTAGAAAGAAAAAGATCATTCCTGAGGCCATTTTGCAGTCTACCACTTGCCGAAAGTTGGATTTGAATCCAGCTGGCTTGGAAGATGTGGTGGTAAAGAAATTTCTTTCTTTCTCCTTGGAGTTTTTACTAGAACGAAAAAGATCATTCCTTGGAAGACGGGGAGCAATT